GTAGAGACCTGACCACCGTACTGTATTTCTGAAGCTAATGTTGAATAACATTGTATGTCAACTATAATTATATATACATATAGTCACAGGATGTGGAGTAGAGTGTGGGAATGGAGTCAATGGAATTGTAATAGATAAGTATGATATCGGATATGGGAGGGCAGTAGATGGGGTGAGGGGTTGCTTCTGTTTGAAGGGTGAAAAGGATAACTATTGCATTGTTCTGTATACCTGAAACTAACAATAAAAAAATAAATAAATAAATAAAAAGGGGGTTGCAGGGCCAGCCGAGTGGCTCAGTTGGTTAAGAGCTCGCTCAAGAGTTTGAGCTCTGAGCAACAGGGTCCCCAGTTTGATTCACAGCCTGAATTGAGCTGCTGCTGAGCTGCCAATAGGAATCAAATATTAGTGATGGAAGGAGAACTTACTCTGGGTGATGTACACACAATGTGATATACAGATGATGTATTACAGAATTGTACACCTAAACCTGTGTAATTTTACTAACAATTGTCACCCCAATAAACTTTAATAAAAAATGGGGTTACCACAGGAACAATGTGGTAATGCAAACCAAACAAATGGGGGAAAAGTCTCCAATATCTAGATCCTGTTTGGGGTATGAATTTGACTTATTTAATTTGATGTATCTAGGAAATAGTATATTCCTTTTTCATTAAACACTTCTATATATTAATATATTTCCTCATTTGGAATGGGAAATACCTACAAAGAGTATCTGTATCATGAGTAAATTTATCCTAATACATAAAGAAAACGTCAGGGGAACCATATTACAGCATGTAAGAAAACTCTTTAGTTTCTTCCTAAGGGGGGTCCCTAGTAACAATATAATCTAGTAACTCCTTTACAACTAAACAAAAATTGCCAGAATTGGTATCTAATAACATTCTGAGTCATAAGGACAAATGTTTCACAAAGGGCTCTTTTCTTTTAAATGGTTGTAGAATGCATTTGGAATGTAATAGCAATTTAGAGCAGGGTCTGGTGGATTTTTCTGTAAAGGGCCAGATAATAAATATTTTAGGCTTTTTGGGCCATATGATCTCTGTTGCTACTAGTTAACTCTGCTGTTGTAGTATGAAAGTTGCCATAGAAAGGAGAGGGGAAGGGATGAGACAATACAAATTGGTAATTGTAATATGGCCTCAGGGATAGAAAAAGATAGTCCAAGGAATACAATCAATAAAAATTAAAAAAAAAAAAAAAAAAGAAAATAGCTAAATAAACAGGTGTGTCTGGGTTCCAATAACATTTTATGTATAGAGACAGGAATTTGAATTTCATATAATTTACACATGCCATGAAATACTGGTTTTGTAAAAAAAATTTCAAACCATTTAAAAATGTAAAATGCATTCTAGCTTTGGGGCAATCCAAAAATAGGTATTAATTTGTCAACACCCAATTTAGACAGTGAATTAGATGAGAAAATTGAAAGGGGGCAGGGAGAGAGGAAAAACATACAATTACCCTTCTTCCACCTTCCTGTGGTAGAAATACAGGTGGCCATTTACAGGAGATATACTGTCAGACACTCAAGTTACCTGGGGAGTTCTGAGGTGAGGAACAGGGAGAACAGCGGGGAGAGAAGTTGTACCCAGGGTGGAAGGCAGCCTGCAGGGGAACGTAGGACATAATCTCTTCTTCAAAAAGACTGCAAAGTGGGAAAAAAAATTAGTTCTCTGTCCATGAGAGAGTGTTTATGAATTTGGGTAATAGCAGTTACACTTCTCACAAAACAGCAAAAGCACTTAGTCAGCGGTTCTCAATCTGTGGGTCGTGACCCCTTTGGGGGTCAAACGACCCTTTCACAGGGGTCGCCTAAGACCATCAGAAAACAAAAAGATATTTACATTATGATTCATAACAGTAGCAAGATTACAGTTATAGAGTAGCAACAAAAATAATTTTATGGTTGGGGGTCACCACAACATGAGGAACTGTATTAAAGGGTCGTGTCATTAGGAAGGTTGAGAACCGCTGACTTAGATTCAGATGCAGTATTAAAAAGATAGGCACATTAGCATGCAAATGTTTAGTGTTATTTTAAACCTTAATTAATCCTACAAGAAAGTCTCCACCAAGTACTATATATAGCTCTTGAGTTATAAATATAAAGAAGGCAATAGATAGCAGGTACAAGGATGGTGGCCCTACTTCCGTTACAGCTACTGGAAACCTCTAGAACAAATGGTGAGTGTTTTAGCCGGGGTTGTAGTGGAGGTGAACAGCCCAGGATAGCTTTTCCAGAATTGCTTCAGGCTTAGCCCCTTACCTCAGCAAAATAACTAGATCTGCATCACAGGACAACTTTTCAAGCCCGTGATTACCCTCAGTCCGAATGTAATGGATTTTCTCCCTAGAATAATGTGAGAAAGAAAACAAGAGTTACACACCAACATATAAACTAAGAAATGAATCTTTGTCTGATTTTTTTCTCTTCAATGTGGCTGAAGAGTGATGTTCTAATTAGTGTCCAGTGTACTTTGTGGCATTTTAAGTTTTTATTGCAGGTTCCCATGATGCTCTACAAGGAATCACCTCCCCTTAAACTCACACAGAGACAGAAGCTAAGGAGCACAACAAAGGTAGGTCCACGAATAGCTATGACAATCAGCAGTGGAGCTAAGTAAGGAGAGCCACTGGAGGGCTGTTGTGGGCTCATGACATCTTGGGAACCATGAAAAGGAAGAGTGAGGAGACATGTCTTAAGAAATCTTATGCCTGATGAAAAATGTATGAGGCCATGCTGGGCACAGAGTCTGGCCTCCAAAACACATGAGAGCTTCCCAGGTTGGTCTGAGCACAGGCATCTTTCAAATAGATTAATATAGTCTCCTACATAGCCTCCCTGCTATACCTCATGTCCCACATCCAGTCTAGCCATCCTCCACAGAGCAGCTCAAGTGGTCATTAAAAACACAAATACACCCATATTTATTTCCTGCTGAAAACTCTTTAATCACTTTTTTTAATTAAAATTTATTGGGTGACAATTGTTAGAAAAATTACATAGATTTCAGGTGCACAATTCTGTAATACACTATCTATATATCACATTGTGTGTTCACCACCCAGAGTCAGTTCTCTTTCCATCACCATATATTTTATCCCTTTTACCCTCTTCCACCCCCCTTACCTTCTGGTAACCACTAAACTATTGTTTGTGTCTATGAGTTTTTGTTTGTTCATTTGTTTATCTTGTTCTTTTGTTGTTTTCAGTTTTATATACCACACATCAGTGAAATTATATGGTTCTTGACTTTTTTGGGGCACTTTTTAAATAAAATTCACTTCAAATTAAATCCTAACTCCTTCCCATTGCTGACAAGGTTTCCCACCTCAATTTCACACATTCCCAACTTATCCCTAAGCCACACTGGCCTCTTTCACTCTTTACCTACATTAAGCCTTTCCTGCCTTGGGGCCTTTGTACACTTTCCCCCTGATCCCCACCTTGCATCTCAGGGACAGTTCAGGTTTCAGCATGTTGCCACCTATCTGAAAAAGCCTTCCCTGTATTCTTTCTAGAAGGTAAGTCCTCTTCTACATCAACATATTACTGACTATCACTGAATTCTGATCATGTCCTTGATGACCCTTAACATTTTCTGTAGCTACATATTTTGCTTAAAAAAACAAAAACAATTTAAACTTTCTGTCATTTGTCTCTCTTAATATTTGGTTGTCAGAAAAGTCATGACGCATTTTTGCAATGAAAAACATAGAAAAAATATGTTATGACTTTTCCAACAACTCAATAAATTATGTGCCATGAGAGTAAGACATAAACCTGTTTTGCTTGCTACTGCATACATAGACCTAGCACAACCCTGATTCAGAATAGTTGCACAATAAAAGTACTAGTTGAAGGAAAGAATAAATAATGACTGCTTAAAATTAATAGATGTTATTAAGCTCTGGGTTTTCTGGCACCATCTTCCCCCTCTACATGTGGCTTCTTATGATTCACTGCTTTCTGCTAAAAACAGTTTTCTGAGAACTCATCCTCCACCCTCTAATCTAGCAATTGGCTTTGTGGTCCCTAACAGTGGATCCATGACTCCCTGAGAATAGCAATGGCTGAACAGTTGTCACTGTCCCCACTTGGGGACCACAGAGGAAGCAGTAAATTCTCCTGACAGGGTCATGGGGAGAGGTGCTTTTCTTTTCAATTCTTGGACCTTTAAAATGGAGCTGACTCACACTCAACATCACATCCAGGAGCAGGCAGAGGCCCAGTCATATGGAGCAGTGTTCAGCTCCTCGTTCCTTAAAGCCTGACCCCTTGAAGAGCAAGTTTTTTTATTTTTAATTTATTTTATTTTTTAAAGATTTTTATTAAAATATAGCTAACATACAATATTATATTACTTTCTGGTGCACATCATAGTTATTCAACAGTACCAACCTGGAAGTCTACATAGTTATTACCATAGTATTGATTATACTCATATTCCCTGTGCTAAAGAAGTGATCACCATGATCAGTCCAGCAACCATCTGACACTGTACCACACTATCACAATATTATTGACTATATTCCCCATGCTGTACATTACATCCCCATGACTCATTTTTTTTTATGCCTGGACATTTGAACCTCTTACTCCCATTTACCTTCCCACCACCTTTTAATTTTTCAATTAGAGTTGACATTCAATATTATTTTATATTAGTATCAGGTGTACAGCATAGTGGTTAAACATTTATATAATTTATGAAATGATCCCTCTGACTAGAACCCACCTCACACTATACATAGTTACTACCATATTATTGATTATATTCCCTATACTTTACTTTACATCCCCATTATTATTTTGTAGCTACCAACTTGTACTTCTTAATCCCTTCACCTTTTCACCCTGTGCCCAACCCCTTCCCATCTACCACCAAACAAATCTAGTACCCAACTGAGACTATACATAGTTGTTATAATATTCACTGTATTCCTTATGCTATACCCTACATCCCCATAACTACTGTGTAACAACCAGTTTGTAATTCTTTATCTCTTTCCATTTTTCACCCACCCTCAACAGCCTTCCCATCTGGCAACCATCAAAATGTTTTTTGTATCTATGAGTTTGTTTCTGTTTCATTTGTTTAATTTGTTCTTTAGATTCAATTTGTAAGTGAGATCATATGGCATTTGTCTTTCACTGTCTAACTTACTACACTCAGCACAATACCCTCTAGGTAAGATTTCATGCTGAGTAATATCCCATTGTATATATGCACTGCCTCTTCTTTATTCATTCATCCATTCAGGGAAACACATGTTATTTTTATATCTTGGCTATTGTAAATAATGGTGCAATGAACATATAAATAAGCATGTCCCCTCAAAGTAGTGTTTTGGGTTTCTTTGGATAACTGCCCAGAAGTAGGATTGCTAGGTCCTTCTTTGTCTCTTGTTATAGTCTTTGTTTTAAAGTCAATTTTGTCTGGTATAAGTATTGTTACCCCAACTTTTGTTTGATGTTTCCATTTTCATGAAATATTATGTACTATCTTTTTACTTTCAGTCTCTGTGTCTCTTTCAAATTAAAGTGAGTCTCTTATAGGCAACATATGGAAGGGTCTTGTTTTTTTACCCATTTAGCTCCCTATCTTTTGATTGGAGCATTTAATCTAATTATATTGAAAGTAATTGTTGATAGGTATTTTATTTTCATATTATTTATTTTATTTTATTATTCATATTATTTATTGATGGATTATTTATTTATTTATTTATTTATTTATTTATTTATTTATTTGTCTTAAAGATGTCCCTCTAACAATCTTTGTAATACTAGTTTAATGGTAAGAAACTCCTCTAGGGCCGACCGAGTGGCGCGATGGTTAAGAACTGGCTTGGGACACCAGAGGGCCCCGGTTCAGATCCCACATGTGAGGGCCAATGACACTGCCCTCTACAGCTAAGATGCTGAACAACAGCTCAACCTGGAGCTGTGCTGCTGTGAGTCGCTGGTGACAGCGACGGCGTAGGCTGCAGCCCCTGTGGCAGTGGGTTGCCATGGGCTACCGTATGTAGCCAGCAGCCAGCATGGGCGGCCGTCCAGAAGCCGGTGACTGATCTGCCTCACCCAGGAAGAGCGCAATGATGGTGCCAACTTGGGCCAGTGAAGCAGCGTCCTCCGCAACTAGACTGAAGAACAAAACGACAGCAGCTCGTCTGTTCCCCTTCCCCCAATTCCCCAGCATGGTTCCCATCTCCCCAATTCCCCAATAAAAATCTTTAAAGAAAAAAAAAAAAGGAAACTCTTCTAGCTTTTTCTTGTCTGGGAAGCTCTTTATCTGTCCTTCGATTCTAAATAATAGCTTTGCTGGGTAGAGTAATTTTGGTTGTAGGTCCTTGCTTTTCATCACTTTGAATATTTCCTCCCAATCCCTTCTATACTGCAAAGTTTCTGTTGAGAAATCAGCTGGTAGTCTTATGGGAGCTCCCTTGTAGGTAAGTAACTGCTTTACTCTTGCTGCTTTTTAGATTCTCTTTTTGTCTTTAACCTTTATCATTTTAATTATGATGTGTCTTGGTGTGGGCCTGTTTGGGTTCATCTTGTTGAAGACGCTATGCGCTTCCTGGGCTTCTATATCTATTTTCTTCACCAGGTTAGGGTTAGTGTTTCTGTTATTATTTCTTCCAATATGTTTTCAATTCCTTCTTTTTCTGGCACCCACTATGAGGTGAATGTTGGTATGTGTGCTATTGTCCTGGAGGCCCCTCTAAACTCGCTTCTAGTTTTTTAATTCTTTTTTCTCTTTGCTGTTCTGATTGGATATTTCCTACTACCTTATCTTTTAAATCACTGATTCAACCCTCTTCTTCATCTAATCTAATACTTTGAATCCTTCAAAGTATTCTTCATTTCCATTATTGTATTCTTCATTTCTCACTGGTCTTTTTTTATGTTTTCTATCCCCATTTTAATGTTTCTTATCTCTGTGTTGAAGTTCTCCCAGAAATCATTTAGAATCCTTATACCTAGTGTTTGGAACTTTGTGTCTGGTAGATTACTTGTCTTCATTGTGTTTAGTTCTTTTACTGGAGCGTTGTTCTGTTCTTTTATTTGGGACATGTTTCTTTGTCTCCCCCTTTTGGTTGCCTCCCTGTGTTTGCTTCTATATATTAGGTTGGGCTGCTATGTCTCCCAGTCTTAGTAGAGTGACCTTATGTAGTAGGTGTGCTGTGAGGCTTAATGGCACAGTCTTTCTGGTCACTTGAACTGTGCACTCCAGGTGTGTCTTTTGTGTGTCTTCTGGATGCTCTCCTCTTGTAGTTGAATCTTGGTTGCTATTTGCATGTTAGTGGGTGGGATTGACCCTAGGGTTTAGAGGTTGTGAGGACTGGTTGTGACTGCAGTGGAGGAGCTGTAGTGCAAGGGCTGACCCTACAGAGCAAGATCTCCTTCAGCAGGGCTCTGGTGCCTGCCTAATCAACCCCTGGGTATGTTGTCCTCAGAGGTGGCTGTGCAATGCTCCAACTAGTTTTGAAGATAACCACTGGGTATGTCAGCCCCAGGGCCATCTGAGAGGAACCTGCTGCAGGTCAAGTTCAGCTGCATTCTGTACCCTACCCAGGGCCACCAGGCAGGAGCCACAATGCAATATGCACATGGCCACCACCTGTGCCGTGTTTGGAAGTGCCTCTATAGGCCAAACCACATACCAAGGCTGGCTGCCCTTAGTGCTGGTCTTAGAGCTGCTCAGCCCAAGGTACAGGACGTGTTCAAGCCAGATGCTACTTGTCTGGTTTCTGCAAACCCTTGAGAGACCCTAAAAAAATCTGCAGCATGAACCAAGGCAGGCAGTTTTTATGAAAAAGCTACTAAAAGCAGCTTGGGTGTGCCCAAAAGTTGGGCAAAATGGGATCTCAGAATCACCAGGGTGTGGTGAACAAACTCAGATATGGGGACTGTTTGCATCTGCATGCAGGGAAGAGGAGGGCTCAACAAAGAAACAATGGCTTTCATCAGCTCCTCCATCCTGGAGAAAGCTGCTTTTCCCACCCTCACCCTGAAGCTAGATAATTCAGTTCCTCTCCATATGACTCTGGCACCTTTTGAGCTACTTCTCCAGTGCTGAAGCTCAGAGCCAGTGTCCCATTGGTGAGTAAGTCTGGTGCAGGTCATTTAAGAAGAGCGCTTGGGATTCCAGCTGCCCTCTGTCTCACTCAGCCACTAGTCTCCACTGGTTTTCACAACCAGAAATTATGGGGACGTCTCTCCTTGGCACTGGAATCGTGGGCTGGGGAGGGGCTAGGACCCCTCACTCCTAAGGGTGGGAGAATCACAGCTGAGATATTTCTCCTGATCTTAATAATCATATGCGGGTGTGAGGCCAGCCCGTTCCGCATCTCTGCCCCTCCTACCAGTCTCAAAATAGCTTTTCTTTTCCTGTATGTCCTTAGTTGTAGGGCTTCAATTCAGCAAAATTTCAGGTGATTCTCAATGACGGTTGTTTTGTAGTTTGGTTGTAATTTTGATGTGGTTGTGAGAGAAAGTAAACACAGTGTTTACCTACTGTGCCATCTTGACCAGCTACTTGATAACTGAAGAGCAAGTTCTTGCTATTGTCATTGTGCCTTTTGAATTCCATAGCCTCTTAATTTCTGATATCATTGTGGGCCAAATGTTTTTAATGAAATATTTGGTTTTTTTACCTGTAGTCCACAAGTCCTTTAAGGTCCATCAACTATTTGAAAGTATATGCAAAGGTTTATGTTTATATGTGGGGAAGAGTGTATAATAGTTTTCATCAGATTGTTGAAAGAGTCCATAACTTTAAAAAAGTTATTAGTTTCGATAATAGTTAACTTCCATGGTTTTTCCTATTTCAACATGCCCTGATTCCAAGTCCCCCCCATACCTGGAAAATCATGATTGTACAATTCCACATTGCAATAAAGCCTGTAAGGTTTTCTTTTGGATTTTGTTATAATGCAATATTATACAATAAGGCTTAAAATTTACTTCTTTTTGGAAATATATTATACTCTTTTAACCCCCCCAAAATATTTTTTTTTTACTTTTCAAATTATTTAAATGGGAATCTAGTGTCTTTGGTGAGTTCAAATTCCTCCAAAAAGTAAGCAGTGAACTCATTGCTTAGTGGTAGAACTAATAACATAAAAAAATGCTCAAAAGCAGACCTGTGTTACAAACTTTTCAAGTAATACGACTCTTCTGAAAATCCTTTGGAAGCTCTCTTAAGTTACTTTGAACTGTGAGAGAAAAAGCACCCCATGAATAAATGACCCACATGACTGAGAATGGCACTGCCTCTCCTATGGCACAACAGTGAAACTTGGGCAGAATTGAACATATAAGTGGAAGTGACAATTACTCATGCTAAAGCTCAACAGTTCATGCTAAAGAACTTTTATTCACTCTGCAAGTAGTTAGTGTTTTCTATCTTTATATTAAAGGACGAGGTTCTGAGGCAGATTGGATACAAAGACAAGGAATATACAGGTCCTGCTCTAAAGAGGTTATAGTGTTGTAAGAAGACATAAGTACATTATAGAATATACAAAATAAAGGGAAAATATTTTAGAGGTACAAAAAAGAATGCTTAAAGCAAGGCAAATTTAAAACTAAAGTTTTTGTAAATCACCAAATCTTTACATTTGATTTGAGCCTTTAATATGGGATGAGATGCCTTTAACAGAGAAGCCATTCCAAGAAAGGCAAAAGTAGGAGAGGACAGAACCTAGTTGGTGGAGTGAGATACCAGAAGGAAATGCAAAATAAAAAACTAGTACAAGATGGAGAATTAGGTTAAGAATAGACTTTGGAGCCCATGGAAATTGTGCTTAGAAATCTTTATTTCAATTGCAATGGAGCCATGGAAGCTTTTTTGAGAAGCAGGAGTGACATAATTTGATTTGTGCTATTAGAAGATAATTCTGGTTATAGTAGGGTGATAAGAGATTTCTTCTAAGAGACTCTTGCAAAGTCCAGGAGAGAAATGATGAGAATCCAAATATTGGCATTGGCTGAGAGAAGAGAATAAAAGGGCTGGGAGAGAAAGTATAATGATAAATATTTAGATGTGGAGATGAAGAAAGAGAGAGGAATTGAGATGAGAGGCAGTTTGGAGGATGGTCATTCTAATTTACACAGGTAAAAATCACAGGGAAAAGAGGTGTTAATGAGGGGTGGTGGAGGGGAAAGAATAGTGATTGACATATCCTGACAGGATTAATAAGAACTTGAATAGCAAAGAAGCTATTTTCAGATGTTGGTGGTTTATTGAGGAAGTTATACAAAGTAAAGTTTTACAGTTGTCAGACAGATTCAAAAGACCACCAAATGGGAGACGAGGGATTAAGGCCAGTCACTGACTGCATTCCTGCCAACCTTGCCTGATCCTTTACATACATCCTCATTTAAACATCTCAAAAGTGCCCACGTTGTAACCTTATTTCAGTGATAGGGAAACTAAGGGTAGAGGGTTGAATAACATGCCTTGATTGTTAGTCTTTATGTGGGCAATAATTCAAAATCCAAGAGGATGCTCTTTAAGATCCATGCATCTCCAGCTTTTGAAATTCTGGGTAGTAAACTAAAGGTGAGAAATGTTTGAATATTTTGGTGAGAAAGTGGGATTTAAGTTCAGAGGATATTTTCTCTTTATCACTTTGGGTAGCTATCCCTTCTAAATGAAGCGATTCAGAGTTTCAGAGATACTTTTTCAAAGATGACTCTAACAGACAATAGAATTTAAGTAGTTAAAACATATATGACACTTTCCATTTTCTTGTTTGTTTATTTTTTAATGTGGTTATCTAATATCTGGTTTACCATTAAGCAATTATATTTACTTATTTTTTTGTTTTGTTTCTAATTCAATTTATTGAGGTGAAAATGGTTAGTAAAATTACATAGATTTCAAGTGTACAATTCTGTATGGTCTTTACATAAATAATTTTTAACTAAAACTGTGCTTTCTTCTAAATCAATGGAAGTAATTTTAGTATCATATGAATAACATGTAACCTGACAATATGAGTATGTCTGATTGTTGTGACACTTCTGAGAACCTTAGAAGCCTCTGCCCCTTCATTTTGAGCATTCAGATTAAAATTTAAATGCATGAATAAAATGCATCATAAGCTCGCTCTCTCTCTCTCTCTCTCTCTCTCTCTCTCTCTCTCCCTCCATAAAGTTGTTGTCCCACTTGGAAAAATAGCGGGGGAGATCTGGGGTTAGAGGGGTAAAGGACAAGCCCTTACCTGAGTGCGGGGTTTTTCGCCAAGCTTGGCTGACGCTCTTGCAGCATTTCAAAAATATTTGGCTGGCGAAGAAATGCCACAATCTTGTCATTATATGCTGAAATAGACAAAAGTGAGGAATTATGGTTGAGTCTGAAGCCCAGAGATAATTTGTCTGATGATTGGAAGATGGCTGCTTGATACAAGAATAATGTAGAAGTTTGAAAGGCAAGTAGAATACTCATAAAATATGTAAGATCTTGAGGTTTTTTTCTGTGACATAATAGCATTATTATTTTTAAATGATCAAACCAAATGTGAACTAGATTTAAGTTAATCATTCTAATATGCCAGGAACTGAACTGGGTGTTAACTCATTCCTGTGTGAATGGGTGAAGAATAAAGTAGTTCTTCCATGAGGGGAGTTCTGCTCTTTTTCTTCTAACTTTTTTTCATCATTTTGCCATAGTTATCATAGCAAAAAGTTATTTATGAGTTCAAAGAAATCCTTTTCTGAGTCCTTGAAGTTTATGACCTGTGGCCATGGGTTGATTTCCCAGTAATGATAATGAAACTATCCAAATCAATTTAGACACTGGCCTCATTTCCTTTGACACAAGTGGTGTGTGTTATGAAAAGAGGTAGCTGAGGTTAGCAATAAAGATTGTCAACTTATCTCCATACACACAGAGAAAAGAGGTCTAAATTAAAAACTGCATCTAGCAGCAACAAAATCCATCACCTAATTAAACTATGCTCCCCTGGACTCAGCTAACAAATCACTAGGTGCTGTGAAGAAGGGGGATGTGGGTCTGGAAGAGTAGAGAAAAGAGAGGGAAAGGATGAGAGAAGACAAAGTGAGGAGGAAGGGAAAAGGAAAAAGAGGCAAAGGGGAGGGGAGGATGGAAATGGGGAGGATGGGAGTAAAGGTAGAGAAGGAGACTATACCATAAAAGAGAAAAAAAACCAGAATCTTCAATATTAAAGAACTCACAATAAGAAAAACAAGGTTAAGTATTGGGTATCCAGAAGTTCAAGAAGCACAATACATACCCAGAGGCAATGACTCATGTTGATGCTGGCTTCGAATAGCAGCTACCAGGCTGTGTCCTGGCCTGGCCAGTAAAGAGGCTCCTCTGTTTCTAGAAACTTCTGAGGCCTAATTTTAAAATAAAATTATTATACTGGAAATGTTATCAATTTCAGATGTTCTTTCAATACCATTTTTTTTTCAATATGGGGGTAAAAACCCCTGACTTCACTTAAGTTAAAAAAACAATAAAGTGACAATCTTCAAAGTGATAGAAAATTAGTGAGTTTTTAAAATATGACCGAGTGGTTGATGTGCTATATTATGATTTTTAAGAAAGTGATTGCAGGGCTGGCCAAGTGGCGCGATGGTTAAGAACTGGCTTTGGATGCCAGGGGGCCCCGGTTCAGATCCCACATATGAGGGCCAGTGACACTGCCCTCTACAGCTAAGATGGTGAACAACAGCTCGACCTGGAGCTGGGCTGCCAAGAGTCGCCAGAAACGGCGTAGGCTGCAGCCCCTGTGGCAGTGGGTTGCCATGGGCTACCATATGTAGCCAGCACCCAGCATGAGCGACCAGCAGCCATTGTGAGCGGCCATCCAGAAGCCGGCGACTGATCTGCCTCGCCTGGGAAGAACGCAATGATGGTGCCAACTTGGGCCAGTGAAGCAATGTCCTCCACAACTAGACTGAAGAACAAAATGACAGCAACTTGTCTGTTCCCCTTCCCCCCGATTCCCCAGCACTGTTCCCATCCCCCCATTTTCCCAATAAAAAATTGAAAAAAAAAAGAAAAGAAAGTGATTGCACCTAATGCCATGAATGTTAGTGAAATTAGTAAACTGAATAGGTGATGTCAGCATTGTGGCAGGAAGCAAAAACCCCATTTATTTCTTCCCTTAAACTTACAACTAGTGGGACAACTATAATTCAACAAAGTATCCCTGGTCAAAACACAAAAATGCCTGAGAGATTCATGCACAGAGACATCTGAATGTGAGTGTATTGGAGTTAGCACAGCAGGTGGGAAAAGGGGAAGGACAGAGACGGTGCCACAGACACAGTCCCCAGTTGCAGCCCCAGTTGATGCAGTAGCCATAAAGGAGTCAGGTGGCAACCCTCACACAGAAGCCCAGAGGATAGGAGAAGCAGAAGCAACATTCTGGCCTGAGTAGCTGGCATCTACTGCAGCTAAACCCAGTGACAGTCACATAAATGTGATATAACAGTGTAGCAGGCATGGACTAGCGGCTGCCATTACCTGCAAGAAGATAAAGCCACAGACTTGCGAATCTGCCTTCTCTCAAGCTCCTATCACCTCCACTTTTGGTGGAACCCAGCAGAAGCAGAACCCTAAAGAAACAGTGGAGATGCCTTGGATAGCACAGCACAGCTGGCAGCCTCTGGTAACAAGGAGGGAGTGCTGGGAACTCACAGGCCCAGAGCCCCATTGTCCACCTTATTACACTAAGGGGATGGTGCCCTGAGACTGAGGTGACCTGGACATAGAGGGGGCACTCACCACCTTGGGGAATATGGGGCATTTTTCATGACCAAGGCAAAACTAACCTCACCAAGATCCTAGAGATGCAGTAGTGCAGGTAAGAGTAAACAAAAACTTGCACTATATCACCATCTTCTGGAAAACAAATGAAACACCTCTACTTATCAATCTGCTGAACTGCAAAACATTACTTAAAAAAGAGTTTACTACCTCAAATGCCCATGCAGAGAAACAACCTATCAAGTATCATGAATAAACAAAGTGACAAGGTAGCTCAGAAAAAAAAATCTCTGGAAAGCAAACTCAAAGACATGGAAGACTGTGATTTAAATGAGAGAGAACTCAAGATTGCAGTTATGAGAAAGCTCAATAAAATACAAGAAAATTCAGAAGGGCACTTAAATGAGTTCAGGAATAAAATCAATAAAGTACCCTTCAGGAACAAAGCAGTACTTTACTAAAGAGATTAAAACATTAAAAAAGAACCAAACAGAAATTATAGAGCTACAGAACCCAGTAAATCAGATGAAGAATACATTAGACGGCACTGGAAGCAGAGCACTCCAGATGGAAGAGAGAATTAGCAAGTTCAAAGCTGGAAATCTAGAAATGACTCAGATGGAAAAAGAGAGAACTGACAATTTAAAAAGTGAAAAGAACTCTATGAGAGCTATCTGGCTCCATTAGAAAAAGCAACATAAGAATAATGGGTATACCAGGAGAAGAGAGAGAGAAAAGAACAGAGAGACTATTCAAACAAATAGTTAATCAGTGAGAACTTCCCAAACCTATAAAAAGAGCTGGACCCTCAAATTCAAGAAGCTAACAGAATGCCTAATTATCTCAATGCAAAAAGACCTTCTCCAAGATACAATGTATTAAAAATTCTCAAAAATAATGACAAAGAAAGAATCCACAAGGAAGCTAGGGAAAAAGAAAACTGTAACCTACAAAAAAAAAAGAACATTAGATAATCATCATATTTTTCAATGGAAACCTGACAAGCCAGAAGAGTGTGGAATGAAATATTTAAAATATTGAAAGACAGACTCTACCAGTCAAAAATAATATATACAGCAAAGTTATCCTTTAGATATGAAAAATAAATAGAGGCTATCCCAGACAAAAAAAGCTGAGGGAATTTATCATCACAAGACCTGCATTACAAGAAATGTTGACAGGAGCTCTTCAACTTGAAAAAAAAAGACAAAAGTATACCAAACTTTGAGTAAGATGACTAACACACAGACAGAAACAGGAAATTGCAACCCTACTTCAGAATAGGGCACTAAACACTTAATTATAACATATAAGTTAAAGGGAAGAAAAGCATTTTAAAAAGACTATTAATTCTGTAATTTGGAAATGAATGCACAGCATAAAAAGTGTTAATTTATGACAATAAAAACACAAAAGTTGTGGAGTAAAAGGACTAAACTTGCACAGGTGAATGAAGATAAGATGCAATAAGAGAAAAGGAACTATTGTATGCATGAAACTTTTTTTACATAAACGTAATAGCAACCACAAGAAAAAAAATCTAGAGCTGATACATGTAGCATCGTAGAAAACCACCAAACTAAAATAGCAGACAAAAACATTAAAAAAAGAAACAATGGGGCTGGCCAAGTGGCTCAGTTGGTTAAAAGCTTGCTAAAGAGTGCAAGCTCTGAGCAACAGCATCACCAGTTCAATTCCCACATGGGCCAGTAAGCTGTGTGCCCGAGCTGAGCTGACAACAGGTAGCAGATGGCTCAGCTAGTGAGAGCACATGTTCCTAACAACAAGGTTGCCTGTTGGAGATGGTGGGCTATGCCCACCTGCAACTAAAGACTGAACTCAGCACCTCAAGCTGAGCTGCCACCCAGGTGGCTCAAGGGATAGAGCATTCGCTCTTAACAACAAGGTTGCTGGTTCCACTCCTCCATGGGATGGTGGCTACACCCACCCACAACTAATTGAACACAGCACCTTGAACTGAGCGGCATGACTGGACTTGGAGCTGAGCTTGCTGAGCCCTCCATAACTAAGATGAAGGACAACAACTTGGCTGTTCCCCTCCCTCAATTCCCAAGCACCGTTCCTTTTCTCCAATTCCCCAACACGGTTCTCTTTCTCCAATTCCCCAATAAAATCTTAAAAAAAAACAATAGAGTTACACAACAACCAGAAAACAAAAGCTAAATGGCTGTTGTAGGTCCTCATATATCATTAATCACTCCAAAAGTAAGTGGACTGAACTCACCAATCAAAAGGTACAGAGTAGTGAATTGATTAAAAAAGAAGACCCAACTATATGTTGCCCTTAGGAGACCCATCTCAGCTACAAAGGAAAACAATTGCTCAAAGTAAAGGGATGGAAGATGGTAATTCAAGAAAATGGCATGGCTTCCAGGGAAAAGTGTAGCCATACTTTTATCAGAAAAATATATTTCATGATAAAAGAGGTAACAAGAGACAAAGAAGGACATTCTATAAGGATAATAGGGACAATTCATTACAAAGACATAATGATTATCAATACATATCCAACAAACCTGGGAACACCAAAATACAGAGGGTGCCAAAAAATGTATGCACATTTCAAGAAAGGAAAAAATAACTGTATTAAAATCGTAATACTCAATATGCGAGACCTATAACAAAAGAGGAACACAAGTCATGTGTATACATTTTTTTGGCACCCCTGGTATATAAAGCAATTACTAACAGACCTAAAGAAAGAAACTGACAAAAATAAAATTATAGTAGGGGACTTAAATACCCCATTGACAGTAATGAATAGATCATCCATACAGGAAGTCAATAAAGAAATATCAGCCTTCAACGACATTAGACCAAACAGGCACAATCAATATTCATAGAAATTTCCATCCCAAAATGACAGAATATATATTCTTCTCAAGTACACATGAAGAATACTCTCCAGGGTAGACCATATGTTGTGGTACAAAACTAGTCTTAATAGGTTTAAAAAGATTAAAGTCATACTAAGCATATTCTCCATCTACAATGGTATGAAAATGGAAATTACCTACAAGAAGAAAGCTGGAGAAACCACGAATATGTGGAGATAAAACAACATGCTACTGAACAACTACTGAGTCAAGGAAGAAATAAATGAAAAGGTCAAAACATATATAGAGACAAATGACAATGAAAATATGACATACCAAAATTTTGAGGGTGCAGCAACAGTGGCACTAAGAGGGAAGATAGTGGCATTACATGCCTACCTCAAGAAACAAAAAAGATCTCAAATAAACTATCTAACATTACACCTTAAAGAACTAGAAAAAGAAAAACAAGTGAAGACCAAAGTCATTAGAAGGAAGGAAATAATAAAAATTAGAGTAGAAATAAATGAAATAGAGAACAAAAACACAATAGAAAGGAATTAATGATACAAAGACCTTGTTTTTTGAAAAGATAAATAATACTGACAAACCTCTGGCTAGACTCACTAAAGAATAAAAAAGACTAGAAAAAAATCAGAAGTGAAAAAGGAGCAGTTACAGTGGACACCACAGTAACACAGAAGTTTATACAAGAATACTATGAAAGGCTATATGCCATCAAATGTGGTAACCTAGAACACGGGTTGGCAAACGTTTGAGACGGA